ATTTGTTCTGTTTTCAGAGATTTATGCTGACAACAGAGTCTTTAGCCCAAGTGTTTCTCAACCTTGGCAACTTGAAGACATGTGGACTTCAACTCCCAGAGTTGCTGGCTGGGGAATTCTGGGAGTTGAAGTCCACGCATCTTCAAGTTGCCAAGGTTGGGAAACACTACCTTTCCCTTTTACATACTTCCTTTCTTGAGAGCAGAAAATATTTTTGAAATGTTATGTCTTCATTTACTTACTTGATTTATGCCTGCCATTTTTAACCTAGAAATATACAAGTTTTCATTAACAATTGAGATAAATGCTCAGCAGTATTAAAAACATTCAACCTCCTCCAGAATGCTATAAAACCCTAACTGTAACATATAGTATTAACATATACAATATGAGCTAGTATATAGTATAGTAACAAATTACTCACAGAAGGAAGAAAAGGTCAAACACAATCTTAACATTAACATTTGGTATTATAACTCAAACCTGAGTAACTCCAACTCTAACATCCCTGCTGATTGAGCTGGTTCCTTTTAGGATATCACCACCAGTTCGTAGAAATCCAGAACTCCCACGAAGAAAACCTGTCCCTAGCAGTTCCAAAGCTTCCATAAATGAGATTTTGCGAACATGTTGTCTGGCAGATGCTTTTTCAATGAAGAAGAAAAAAAAAGATATATAGAGAGGCTCATACCCCACACATACACACCACAGTCTTTCATTTACTTTCATCTTCTGTTGAACTAAAATAACATACAGTATTTGATAGCATAGCCAAATCCATAGATTTAATTCACACTAAATATTTATTGAGCCAAAGCTCTAAACCCTGCATGGCATGATCCTATACATTACCTAAAATTAAATTCAAATCTACCAAACACTCTCAAGAACTCACAAGATCAAAAACATTAAAGACCATTTTAAATCCAGATTGTAGACATATTCACAGGTCTAATGGAAGGGGATGACTTGGAGCTTGCATTCTCTGTTGGAATTCCCATCCAGTGGAACCAGATGCTCCAGAAACAAGATTAGTGTAATCGCTAATAACATTAGAAAACTGGTGAAAACCTGGCTATTTAAGCAGACATCTGAGGATTTAGGCAACAATGATTTACATATTAAGGATGTATGAGGGTGTTGCTCATGCTTGCTTGTTAATATTAAGTTCAATTATACATATGTGTGTGTGTCTGTGTGCGTGCATGTGCGCATGCACACATTTATTTTTCTTTGTATATTTGCTTACTGTTTTTAGCTTTTGTAAGCTGCTTAGATTCATGTGACTGAAGTGGCATAAAAGCACTTGCAAATAAAGAAAGGAAATATTTCCCCAATCTCGAGGCTAGCTAGTTGGGTAAGTTCCCTTTACGTAGTGAGTATAGTAGAAATAAGTTGTGGTTTTTGTGGTCTCCCTCCACATGCTGTCTGTGTTTTATACTATGCTGTGTATTGTTCTTTGATCTTACAGGCAGTCCTCGCTTAACAACGATAACTGGGACTGGAATTTCTGCTAAGTGATGCAGTCGTAAAGTGTGATGTCACGCAACCACATTGCTTAGTGACAGCAATCCTAGCAGTCCTTGTTGCCATCGTTAAGTGAGGATCGTGGGTTGTTAAACGAGGACCTTACATGACAACGACTTGCAACCTTCTGTGGCTTCCCACAAACCAAGTCAATGGGGAAGTTGGCAGGAAGTTGCAAGTCCCAGGTGGTTTGCAAGCAGGCAGGCGGGGGGGTGAGGTGGAGCAGGGGGTTGTGGTGGCAAGTGCACCTGGGCTGGGGAGAGGGTGTGGCTGCCAGGCAGGAGTGTGTGCGGGCTGGGGAGAGGGTGTGCTGCAGCCCAGCCTCTCGTACTCTGTAGCAGAGCTCCTTGGGAGAAAAAGTGGCAGGAGAGAGTTGCAACCTTCTCTGCTGCTTCCACACTGACTGGGCTTGTGGGAAGTCAGCAAGGAACTTGCAAATGACAATCATGTGACCACAGGATGCTGTAACCGTCCTAGGTGCAAGCCAGTTGCCAAGTGCCCAGATTGCGATCACGTGGCCACAACTTTGAGGACTGGTCATAGTACCACTCATTCAGTGCTGTTGTAACTGTGAACAGTTGCTGAACAAGTTGTTGTTAACTGAGGACTATCTGCACTGTGTTTTAGTTTGTGAAGCCAGCCAGAGTTGTTAGGCAATTGGGCAGCCTAAAAATATGACAAGTAAATAATTAAAAAACAATCATGGATAAGATATTCAAATGTGTGCCAGACAACATGTCATTTTATGGCAAAGTCTTTCTGTATGGTCCCCAGCAACCTTCGCAGATCCTTTCCTTTCCTTTCCTTTTCTTTAAGTACAACTATTATATGTGGCTAAATGGGGTGAAAACAAAATACGAGAACAGAAAGGTTGCTGCAGAGTGACTCTGCTTTGCAAACGCTCTTGCACCTCATGTTTATCTATAAAATAGTTAATAGTCTGGACTCAGTCTACATACTGATTAGCTAAGTTGAACCAAGCCATGGTTACAGGCAAGAGTTGAGATATTCCATCTTAATAAGTCTGATTCACTGTCCAGGTTGGGACATGTTTGACAAACTACATTACAGATCAGGATATCACAGAAACAAGGCCTCTAACCCTAACCCTACTTGCAATGTTTCCTCATATGCTATTTCCCCTTTCCTTTGTGTACTATTAAGTTTAACTGCCAATATAGTTGATTTTTCCCCCTTAATCTTAATCTTTTCCCACTCTCCCACTATGGAATAGTGGAAATATTTTCTGTCACTATTTTTATTCTGAAGTAGCACATACACATAACTGTATATTTTCTTAAATATGGTGTAATTTGATATAGTTTACAGAAAATATTCACACGTACCTGCATTTGTATGTGTGTATATATGTGTGTGTGTGTGTGTGTGTGTGTATATATATATATATATATGTATATGTATGTATGTGAGTGTGTGTGCATTAGTTATAGTTCAGAGAAAATAGTCGTGTGTGTGTGTGTGTATGAATGTATGTGTATTAGTTATTACATTATTAGTTATTATGTTAGCATGTTAGTATATCAGCTATTGCTATATGTTAAAATCATTTCCTGACCCATTCTGAAGGATCTTTATTACCAATAGCTATACTGCTTACTATTTCCTAAGTCAAAGTGGGGCTGAAAAAAGATAAATGAACTCACCCGTAGCTTGCTTTGATGTTACACCACTAATCAATATGTAGCCTAAAAGCTTAGAAACGGCCATTCGTACATCATAGTTGGATCCTTCAAAGGATTTAAAACATAGAGTTACAACACTATCCAAATCTGTACTCCACATAAAAGTTGCTTCAGTCTGAAGTTCAAGAAGACACTATATTAAAAAAAAAAGGGGGGGGGGAAGGAAAACAAACAAAAAAAAAAAAATAAATTCACATCCAAAAAAAACCTCTTCTAATAAAAAATTGTTTTGGTTGGATATAAAAAAAAAAAAAAAAAAAAAAAAAAAAAAA